TGCCGGCCTACCCCTGGAGTGTGGGCTGCAGGAGAAGGGGGCCTGCCACCCCCTGGCCTCTGCACGTGCCCTGTGCCCAGAGTGGTGCCTGCAGGAGGGCACCTCTGCTTGTCAAGTACTAGCCCTCCAGGCAGCTGCGACAGTGGGGCACCGGGCAAGCTGCTGCCCGCGTCCGCGTGGGTCTCCGGGTTTGCACCTGCGGACAGTGAGAGCACCACCCTGTAGGCTTGAAGGAGTGAGTGCATGGTAAGTGCCCGTAGAGCTTCCAAGAGATGTTGCTTATCAATGTTGTAAACTCAGAAACTGTTTAACTTCCATTAGGGGTGGGGATAATAAGGATTAAAAAAATATCAAGTACCTCTGAAGGGTTAAAGGACAAGCTTTCAGTTCAAACATGTTGCCTAACATTTAACTAACAGAAAGGTTATGTTGATGGCTGTGTAAGTCAGGTAGCTTATTTTGGAAGTACGATTATCTGTTCAGTACACTAAAATTCTGTTATTAACATTTTATCCTTTGAGTAAATGTTTATTGAGGGATTCTGTTGCATGCCGGGCTCTGGTGCAGGCTGGAGCTGCAGAAATACGTCTGAGGTCTTCCTTCAAGGGCCCTTGGTCTAATGGAGCCTAGTTAGGGCTAGTAAGTGAAATTTTTGAGAATTCTAGATGATTCTCTTCTATGCTCTTTCATGTCTCTGAGGATAGAATCCATATTTTAAAGGCCTGTTTCCTGAGGTCTTGCTGCCATATCTATTGGGAGTTGGGGTGGAGGTTGACAGGATGTGTGTCTTGCCTTGGGCCGGTCTGCCCGCCAGACCCCTGACAGTCTGCCTTGGAACATGAGGGGCCGGGTTGGGCAGGGACAAGGGATGGCTTTACTGGGCAGGCGCTTGTGGTACGCTGAACGTCTTCTCTTTTCTAAAGTGTTAGCTCTTCCACGGGGTATGGTGCTTCTCCTTCACTGTGATGTTTAAATATTGTCTGGAGCCACTTACAGTGTTAAGTGATTAATCTTTTTTGTCCTCATTTGAAAAATAGGAGAAATAATATTCATTTATTCAGCAGGTACTTACTGGGCAACTACTTATGTTAGGCACCTAGGACAAAGGTAGGTTTTACCCTTAAGGGGTTTAAAATTTGTGAGGATTCAATGAAGGTGTGCTTGGATGGGGGGAAAGGAGAGGGAGACGGGGAGAAGGGCAAGGATGGTCTCATGGTAGATGCTCAAAGACTCAAAAAAATCTCTTCTCCTTTTTATATAGGGCTTTTTACTTTACTGTCTTAAAGACCAAAAAATCTTACTCATTGTGAATTGTTAATCACTTGTGCTTCTTTTCTACCCATCTCTTTGCACGAAGGATCTGAAGTTTAGAGTATTTTATATATTCCTCTAAAGGTTTTGTTTTGCTTAGAGCAGGGAGTGGATAGATGAGTGAAGAACAAAAGAATTGATTATAAATAACAAGTCAGACAAAAAGGATTAACTGTTTTCCCCTAGAATCTACTGTAACATAGAGGATTTTTTCCTAATAGGTTGCCTGTGGGCTTTTAAAACTTAACTATTTTTTAGAGCAGTTTAGGTTTAAAGCGAGATTGAGCAGAATGTACCGTGTTCCCATAGACCTTGACACCCCACCCCGTGATCACCCGACCAGCATCCCCACAGAGCTGTACTTTTGTTAGTCTCCAGACTCACACGGACGCATCAGCATCACCCAGAGTCTCTAGTTTACATTAGAGTTCCCTCTTGGTGTTGCACTTTCTCTGGTTTTGACAAATTTTCAATGTCACGTATCCACCGTGACAGTATATTGAGTAGTTTCACTGCCCTAAAAATCCTCTGTGCTCCACTCATTCATCCTCCTCTCTCGAGCTGTAACCCCTGGCAGCCACTGATCTTTTTACTGTCTCCATAGTTTTGCCTTTTCCAGAATGTCACACAGTTGGGAGTCATACAGTGTGTATGTAGGCAGCCTTTTCAGATTGGCTTCTTTCACTCAGTGATAGACATGTGAGGTTCCTCTGTGTCTTTGCTTGGCTTGATAGCTCATTTCTTTTTAGTGCTGAATAATTTTCTATTGCCTGGATGTGTCACACTTTATCCATTCACCTACCAAAAGGACATCCTGGTTGATTCCAAGTTTGGGAATTTATGAATAAAGCTGCTGTAAACATCTGTGTGCAGGTTTTTGTGTAGACAGAAATTTTCAGTTCAGTTGGGTAAATACCAAGGAATACAATTGCTAGATCTTACCGTAAAAGTACATTTAGTTTTGTAAGAAACTGCCAACTGTCTTTAGAGAATGTGCCATTTTGCCTTCATGAATGAGAGGTCCTATCGATCCATATCCTTTCCAGTAGTTGATATTGTCAGTATTTTAGATTTTGGCCATTTTGTGGTGGCTGGTTTTAATTTGCACTTCTTTAATGTAATACGATGTTGAACATCTTTTCACATGCTTATTGGCCATCTGTATATCTTCTCTGGTGAGCTGTCTGTTAAGGTCTTTTGTCATGTTTTAAATCAGGTTGCTTATTTTCTTTTTGTTGAGTAAGTTCTTTGTATATTTTGGACAACAGTCCTTTATCAGGTACGTCCTTTGCAGAGCAGAAGTTTTTGATTTTAATGAAGTCTGGCTTCAATGATTTCTTTCATGGATCATGCCTTTGGTGTTGTATCTAAAAAGTCCTCTCCATACCCGGGGTGTTCTAGGTGTCTCCTGTTATCTCCGAGGGCTTTTATAGTTTTGTGTTTTGCATTTAGGTCTGTGATCCATATTGAGTTAATTTTTGTGAAGGGTTTAAAGTCGAGGTCCAGATTGATTTTTGTTTGTTTTTGCACAGGAATGTTCAGTTGCTCTAACAGCATTTGCTGAAAAGACTCTCTCTGCTTCGTTATATTGTCTTTGCTCCTTTGTGGTTGCCTGTTTAAAAAATGTTTATTTCTATCACTACTCTAGAAACCTGATAGTATAGAGGTTTTTTTAAAGATTTTATTCATTAGAGAGAGCGCATGGGGAAGGGGCAGAGGGAGAAGCAGACTCCCCACTGAGCAAGGAGCCCGATGCAATGCGCGGGGCTTGATCCCAGGACCCTGAGATCATGACCTGAGCCACCCAGGTGCCCCAATACTATAGAATTTAAAGCTTTAAGAGCTACCCCTCCCCCCGAAACACTCCCTTTACTTCCATTTTCCCCTTTTCTTAAAGCTGTAAGAACTCAAGCCTTTGTATGGTAAATGTGGAGTGAGAGTCATTTCTCAGACTTACATGGAGTTAACTGCAGGTTTATTGGGGTACCCAAAACGAGCTCTGTCCTCCATCCCCACGCAGACGCCTCGCCACCGTGTCGTGACAGAAATGCTGGCTTGAATGCGTGAAACAAAGCTATGATACCTACCATTGGCCTCTAGAGTAGAAGCTGGACTTCCAGAGGCTTGAGTGCACAGGAATTGGGCTGTGCTCTTGCCCCCCTCGTCACTGGCCTTGCTGCCGTCCGCTGGTGGCCTTACCTTGTGACTGCAGCTCTGCCGGGTTGCCCTGACTCAGTAGACCTTCATCATTTAAAGCCTGCTTGAATATTTAGGTGGTGTGTGGGTGTAAGATATTATACGGTAAACGTGGTAAGTTAAAATGGTTCAAAATGTCTTTGTTTAGAATGGGATTCCACAACAAATCAGGAATCTTGACTAAAAAAACCTAGAAGGAAATGAGCTTGTGGGCCATATTTGGCCCACAGATTTATTTTGGCTCATATTTCTGTCTCTAATTCTAAAATTTGGATTAGTTGCTAACATTTAGAAATTAGGAGACTCTACACAAAAATAGCCCTTTTCCTCACTTTTCTTAAAAACTAGAAGATCTGACCCCACTGGGCCTGTATTCCTCTGTGTCCTTCCCCAACCTGGCACACTTCCCCCATATTGCCCCCATAAGTTTGTTTTTCGTTTTATTTTTGTTTTGGTTTGTGTTTTGGCGATCTGTCAGACTGCGGCTTACGTCGGTTTTCCTATGGATTTGTGCTGCACTGTGAGAGCTGTATGTGGTCACGCTGACTGGCACTGGGAAGGAGCACGGTGCGGGGCTGTGGATGTGGAGGCCTGCGGTGACGATACCCGGGCACCTGCTGGGGGACACCTTCAGAGAGAGCCCTTCCTACCCTTCCCCTGCGAGCAGGCCCAGGGCTGTTCTTGTAATGCTGCCCACTCAGTACTTTATCTTTATGTGCAGGCTTATCTTTTCTTTGTTCTTGACCTTTCAAATTTTCCCTGCCTGGTAGAGTGCCTTTAATGTGAGTGTTCAGGAGGTATTTGGTATCACATTTACATAAGACTTTGTTCATTTAAAGATAGTCGTGCACACATTCATTCTTCCTAATGCTGCCACGTTTGCTTCTTTGTCTGTGGGGGCCGAAAGGGGGTGCCTGGAAAGCTTAATTGACTCCCGCAAGGTCAAACGTTATTAAAGGGCAGCGACGGAGTTTAGATCCTTTGCTGACTGCAGATAAGGGTGTTCTCTTTCCACGGCCACTGTTGCCCATTCAAACCGCCAACTGTCCACCCGCGGACTCTTGGTTTCAGCTTGATCACTTTGCTTATTGTTTTACGTACAGGTATCAAATTACTACCAACAGTTTTTGCTATACTTTGCCAAGCTTAATTCTCAGTTCTTTTGAAATGCGTCCGACTTCTCAAAAAGGCATTTAGATTTCAGAGTTCGACACTAATGGTTTGAGACACATACACACAGCTCTCATTTTTTACCACTAGAGGCCCAGTGTAATTCCCATGAAAAATCTGCTTTTTTGAATGGACTCTTTAAAATACAAAGCACCTAATCCTCGAACTTAATTGGATGAAAATCAGCAAAGCCTATACAAAACGAATTAGGAGAGAGACCTAATATGGGATTGTAGTGGCCATATGTCCTGAGAGCCAGGGTCAGGCCAGTGTATGCTGGTGATCTTGGCCTAATTATTAACACATTTTCTCTTTCATCTCAGAAGGTCCTGCTCCAGACAACAAATTCTCTGGAAACCCTACCTCCAGGTATATGAGAATGTTAATTTAAATATTTAAAACTTGTGAATAAGGTTATTTTTGAAACTATTACCAGGTATTAACGTCTCTTGACAGTTAGGCAACCTGTATTTTCTTTGAACCATTCTTCAGCACAAAAGGTTAAGAAAAATCCTCTGCAAAGAACTGAAATGCTGCACAAATCAGTATTAAGAAATAGCTGTCGATATGGAGTAGTGACTGTCTGTCGATGTGGCTGAAAGACCTATTTAATGATGTACATAAATGTAAACAGTTACCAGGAAGAACCCTGACTTAAAGAGAATGTTGGCCTTCATTGCATCGCCAAGGACATTTGCTAATGCAGACTGTAGACCGTACTCATTAACTCAAGATTCGGTGTGGGTAGTTGATGGTTATTCCCAGCTGGGCTGGAAGTTCCTGGGAATAGCGTGACCTTGATATTTATTAGCCCCTCTCAGATTTACCATAGAATGAGTCACAGTCCTGAAGCATGTCACAGTGCAGGAGATGGCTTTTCTGGAGTCCAGGATTATGGGGGTACTTTTTAGAACAAAGATTAGGGGCTGTTCTACGGACACTGGAAATTAAATGAAACACAGGGGTACTGTATGCATCTTAAAAGGCTTCCTTGAGTGTTTTTAAGCCAAGGAATGACCTTGTGATTATGAAATAACCCATATGCACACCGATTTAGTGTTTTCTTCTGCGGTACTTTTTAACTTTCCATTTTATAATACTCTTTGAAAGAATGTGCTAAATTATAGATTATTGAAATACTTTAAAATAATGAAGTCCTTTAGGGGCGCCTGGGTGGCTCAGATGGTTAAGCGTCTGCCTTCAGCTCAGGTCATGATCCCAGGGTCCTGGGATCGAGCCCCACATCGGGCTTCTGGCTCAGCGAGGAGCCTGCTTCTCCCTCTGCCTCTGCCTCTCTCCCTGCTCATGCTTTCTCTCTCTCTCTCTGTATCTCTGTGTCTCAAATGAATAAATAAAAATCTTAAAAAAAAATAAAATAAAATAAAATAATGAAGTCCTTTAAATTTAAATTTGATAGTATTCAAAATATTCTTTATAACAAAAAACCTCCATATTTGCTACCGCATGGAATTACTAAAATGAACTATTATGAATCTCCTATCCTTAACTATTTTTATTTATAGCGGAATTGGAGGTTTGTTTTTATAAGATGGAAACAGTTAACTGGTTGCAATGTGGTGTTCTCTTCTAATGCTCCAAATACAGTTTGACTCAGTGAAGGTAGAAGCCTGTAACATTCGAATACTGTACCTTCGACCATATCAGGGTAGATGGATAGAAGAACATCAGGGCATGACTTTAGAATTATATGTGACTGTTTTATAAAACTAGCACATAAGATTTTTTTTTAAAAAACATAAGTTTTATAAAATTAGCATGTAAGATTACATAAGATCTTAGAATTCTTCATGTTGAAGGAAGCTCTTGTACAATATAGTCATTTTATAAACGAGAAAACTTGAGATCCAACAAATTCAAGTGATTCCTCCAAGGTCTTACAAAACTTAACTAGTAGCATAAAGGCAATAATGTCTCCGTATAGTCTTATTTCTTAATGTTTATTTTACATTGTTATATCTATACTATCCCCTAGGGAAATAGTAGTTTTATTTCTGTTACCTTTAACTTGCTAAACACTTACTTTAGTCATGCAGTTATATATCTTAAGGGTAGGGGACTTCATTCCTGTTGAATCCAGGAAATTACCTGGAGTCCAGAAATTAAATCTTAACCTGTGTCTTACTTGCTTAATGGAGAACATTGTAGTGAACAGAAAATTGGCCATAATATGGAGAAAAGAGGTATAATGGATAGAAGACGTAGATGTTCAGCATAACGATCCAGCTGTTTCTCATTCAAGTGCCCAAGAGCAGAATGGTCCAGTTTCCTCTCACCTACAGCATACATACCTTCTTAAATGCAACAGGCTTCTTTAAAGGGGGGAAAAAAAAAGTAGCAAGGAAACTAGGAACCAGTCAAGATAAAAACAAAGATAATTTGAGAACTTTGCAAAGGATTTGAAAAGCAAAAGCAAATGCCTGCCATACTACAAAGGCAGAAACGAGGTCCAGAAGCACAAAGATCACTTGATGTGAACAGGTGGAAAAGGTGATTTGGGGTAAAAGTGGAGGGGGGTAGATGGCGGTTGGGGAAGGTGTTGGGAGCTCTTGCCCAGGGCCCGGCCCCTTAGGACCAGCACCCAGCCTTCCCTTCTGGCGTTTCCCTCCACACCTCCATTGCAGGAACCACAGATGATTTCTGGATCATTTGTCCCTAACTTGGCCTTAATGTCTGTCTCATTGAAATTTTTGTTCTGAATTACACTTTATATTCCCTCTTCTTAATTCTGAGAGTGCTTGTAACTCACATATAAAAAAAAAAAGTTTCCCTGAAATCTGCATTTCCCCCTTCCTCTCCTCTCCCACCACATTGAGGGTAAAAAGAAAAAGTTTCCTGACCTTTCCACCAAAGCCATATATAATAAGTTTTTGTATAGAAGTTGACAGAGATTGGTAAATGTGCTGAATGACCAAAAGGTACCACTAGAAACCGATTTGGGCAGGGTATTAATATCACCATTAATACCCTTAGCTGGAGGTGCACAGCCTCCCCTGTAGACATTCTGTCTCCTCACCTGTACGGTACCTGTGCCCGCATTTGCCCTTTTAGAAAAGGAGCTGTTCACTGGCATTTATTGAGATTTTTCTTAGGATCATAGCAGGTGTATATTCCATCCAGTCTGTCAGGTGCGTGACTTCCTTGTCTAAAATGTTTATTTTGTAGTAATATTAGGATGATGCAGGAGGGGAGGGCACCAGCTAGTCTGGACATAGACTTGGCCTTATTTTTAACAAAATAAGTGCTGTCCCCCAAACACCCATGTGCTTGCACTGGCCTGCGCCTGCGTGCTCTCCGCCCCTCTCTCTCGTCTTGCAAAAGATTTCTTCATTAAAAAAAAAAAAAAAAAAAGATCTAACACAACGTATTCATTCAGACTTGGAGAGGTTAGCCAGAAGGTGCCTACGACAACTTTACTATAGTTCAAATTCTTGGTCTGTTATGGTTCAAGGGGGTTTTAAGGCTTCCATAAAACCCCGTTAGTCAATGTCAACAATTTTTTTTTTCTTGGTGTTTATGCCTTTAGCACACACATGCTGTGTTTCAGGTAAAGCTTACCTAGATATCAGTCATGATGAAGGTCATGGCCACAGCCTCTAAAAGATGTTGAGAAACGTAGTCCTGAAAATGTTTGGGGATGTGGTGTCCTGGTGAGCGTGTAAGAAGAACCAATCAGGCATGGAAGACCACGCACTCCACAGGACTCCCCTGGGCACTCGCTCTCCATGGGTAGGGTTTTGATAGCTGAGAGTAAGATGTGCAGTTATGTATTTGGTTTTCTAGGGAGTAAAGGACAAATAACTACATCCTTTGTCTGGAAGGATCTTTATTGTTCCTCAAATATACTACTGATTTTTACATTTAAAAATACATTCTAGCCAGAGGACCCCAGCCCTGTCCCGGTATATTAGTGACCAAGTATATCCTGTCCATCAGTCCTCATTAACTGTCCTCTTCTGCGTTGAAATCATGCAGCAATTTCTTGATACCCGCTGTGCATAAAGACTTTACGGTCCATCATAAATTTACCATATACCTGCTGAGTGTCTTGTGTCAGGCATGAGCTCGACTCCGAAGGTAAAGGTAGCGAACGTGTGTGCACTGGTTCCCTCAGCCTGCTCCAGAGCTCTCTGTCTCCTCCGTCTGTTGGGGCCGCCAGAACAAAAATACTGTCGCCTGGGTGGCTGAAGCAGCAGACATGCATTCCTCACGGTGCTGGGGGCTGGAAATCCCAGATGGAGGTGTCCGTAGAGTCAGGGCCTGGTGAGGACCCTCTGCCTGGTATACAGACCTGCTTTCTTGCTGTGTCTTGCCATGGCGGGGGGGGGAGGGGTGCGGAGAGTGCTCTGGGCCCTTCATTGAAGCCCTCATCTGGGTCCCCATCCCACCGTGGCAGCCGCACCCTCACAATTTCCTCTGAACTCAGTCCCCTCCCATAGGCCACACCTCACCCTCACATTGAGAGCGCCTCAGCGTGTGAATTTGGGGGGCACAGACACCCAGCCCGCTGTACTCTCCTTATGGGACTTCCTTGCACTATCATTCTGGGGCCTCTCTTTCTTCTCTGCCATAGCCCTTGTTTCCAGGATGCTGGATGATGATCCTTCCAGATAGATTCCCTCATTCTAGGAGGGCACATCCTTTCATAGCTGGGAAAGACTGAGTATGAGGTAAGACAGTCCTCGACTGCTTGAAAATCTCTCTTCTGCCCTCCTATTTGATGGATCATTTGCTTGGGAGGAGAATTGTACGTTGGGAATAATTTTTCACTCCCACCTCTTATTTCTAGATGGCCTTTTTTCCTTGTCTTTGGAAGTTTTCAGATTGCTTTCTCTGTGGTGTTCTGAATGTGTGTTCTTTGTACCAAGTAGTCGGGGTTTGATTCAGGCAACTGGTCCTTTCATTCTGAACCCATTTTCTATATTGTTATTTTCTCCCCGGTGTGCTTTCTCGTTATGGAATGAATACTTTTCTGTTTTCTGGTTTTTTTGTCGTTCCTGTTTTCTGGGATATTCTTCAACTTTATCTTCGAACTCTTCTCTTTTGTGTTGCTATTTTATTTTCAAGAGCTTTTTCGGTTTTCTGATTTTCTAACAGTATTCAGTTTTTGTCGCATGGGTGTATTATCTTCTGTGTGGATGCCTTTTAGGTTTGTCTTTTGTTTCTCTTGTTGAGTTTTCCTTCTGTTCACTACATTGTTTCTCTTTCCAGCAAGCTTTTGTTTCTTTGTCTCCATCTCTCCCATTGGAACAGTCTTTCAGCTGCCTGATGGTCCTTGGCTGTTGATCCTCATGGAAGACTACAGCAGGGAAAAAGCTAACTGGAAGCTGTGTAGGGCAAGATTTCTTAAACCAGTATCTTCGCTGTAGTGATCCAGCCGTTTGGGTGGTGCTTTCTGTGGGAGGACTCTAGAAATGTATGGCACTTTGTAGTTGATCCAGTCTCCTGCTCGGGATGGACAGTGGAGGGTAAGTATTTTGGGACTAGTTGGGAAAAGGGCTGGGAACCTTCCTCTTCAGACGTTCGTTTCCCTCCAGTTGTCGGCCTTGATCTCACCCCTACCCAGGTGTTCAGATCGCATTTCTGGAGAAATTGAAGTTCAGGTTTACGTGCTTACCAGTGAACTAACCCAAGAGGAGTGAGGGGAAAGGACCTGTAGACAGTTATATTCAGGAATAACTGCCATAAATGATATGATCATGTTAAGAAACCTCCAGTATTTGCTACTTGCCCGTCCTGATCCAGTTACAGTTGGGAGGCAGTCCTATATGAATTTTGGCAACACCCCCATCATCTAAATGGCAGAGAAACTCGGAGCATGTCTTTGAAGATGCTGGACATCTGCTGCCACCCTCCTTACCCCACTCCTGTGATGGGGAGAGGGGAGTGTCCCCTGGCCATGTCGGGAGGGGTGAGGGGGTGTCACTGCTCCACGGTCATCCAGTCCCGCTGGGTGCGGTACTGGGCCTCACCCCTGCCTTTCATAGCACCTTTCCTGGGGTTCTGAAGGGCGTAGAAGTCCTCTTCCTTTGCTCAAGTTCATTTCCTCCGAATTTGGGGGCATCTCTTACCCCCTCCCTGTGTCTCCTCTCCCATTCTCTTGGTCCTTGTGAGTTTATTCCTTTCTTCTTTCTTTCTTCAGAGACATTTGGGAAGAGAGAATCATGTGGGTTCTACTACTTCATTTTTAGCCACAGGCCTCCAATTTGTATTTTAAGAAGACCATTCTTGCTACTGTGTCGAAGGGCCCTGAGGGAAGAACAACAGAATTCTGCAGGGAGCCCCATAGGGAAGCCCCCTTCTGGCTGGGCTGGGCAGTGCTGGCTCTCTGCAGGGGTGGGTGGGGTGGGGTGGCGGTGGGGGCAGGAAAGAACACCTCCTGCTTTCAGGTTGTTCTGACCTAATTTTGAGAAGCAACCTGTAAGGTTCAGTGTGTTCACTGGAAACGGAGGGACCTTTCAAACAAGTCACGGTTCTTCATGCCCACTGTTAGAAATTTGGAAGTTATAGGTGGACAAAATGGAACTAATAGGTATTATAACAAATGTATATGAAATGATGATGTAGCCTCCCATCGTCCTGCATGCGGTTGTTATTTTACTAGTTCCCAGCCCTGGAGCCCTGGCTGCTGCTGACTTGGCTGTGATGGAAGGAGCACTGCTGTGGCCTTTGCTCCTCCCCCCCCCCCCCCCCAGGTGGTGTCCTCAGGCGGGTTCGGCGTCGGATCGCAGGCCTGCTGTAGGGTGCATGTCATGAAGGCTGACCTTGCGAAAACTGGAAGAAGGGCCTCCAGGCTCCGGCTGGGGCACGCAGCGGTGAGGGGGGAGGGCCGGACAGGCTGTGCTTGCTTCATGTCCTTAGTACCTGCGGACAGGATGCGTTTTTCCTGGCTTGGCAGCCTCCCAGGACACTTTTGTGCCCATGCTGTGCAGTTGGCGCCCAGGACACAGCCCGGCTAGGCTAGATGAACGGGAGCACGCGGGGCAGGAAATGCCCGAAACCTCTTTTGTTGTAACCCATATGAAAAGAAAGGCAAAAGATCAGGGTCCTAGGCCAGCCCCTGCCTCGGGCGTTTAGGTTAATGTAGTGTTTCTCCTCGCCCACTCTGTGGCCTTGAGCTGGGCCTTGGAGGAGCTCAGGCCTCCGTTGCTTCACGCTCTCCCCACTAAGCAGGCCCTAGACCGCTGCTTTGCTTCCGGCCATGGTGCAGCTTCCCGTGGCTCACGGGGGCGAGCGCAGCTTGCGCTGGGTCGGACGCACCCTGCGTGGGCCCGCTGCCTCCTGGCCCGGGTGCTCTCCAAGGCTGCGTGTGCTCTGCTTCTGCTCTTGCGTCTGTTCAACTTCGCCTTTGCTAATTAATTGTACAGCTTGGAAATGATGTCAATGGCTAATTCCATTTCCCCATGTCCTGTGTTGGTCACAGACCATGTGGGAAGCGAAGTTGAAAAGAGTGAGAAAAAAAAAAAAAAAAGAGTGAAGGCCCTTCCGAGATGTTGTCATTCCGTGCTAAGTCCCCCTCTGTGGACAGACCTCGTCCAGGAGAGGAGAGCTGAGTTTGAGAAGGTCAGCGTTCACCCGACTCGCAGCTCCCTGAGAATTAAGTGAGCGAGTGGATGTGGGTGGAGGCCTTGCACAGAACCCGCCTGCATTCCTCGCCCTCTCCCTCCCTCTCTTCTCTCTCTCTCTCTCTCTCTCATTCTTTGGAAGTGGTTCCCTTCTTTTTACTCTTACTGGCTTTATTTATTGGTAGCTTGTAGTATTGTACAGAAGAAAATGGGATGTAAAAATGCTAACCTATGTTTTTCTGTTATGGTGATTGCCATGTGTCAGGAAAGAAAAAAGTAACAAATAAGACTTTCCAACGGCAGAGAAACTGCTTGGTTCAAATACATATCACCCTATCAGGAGTTAGTATTTAGCGTATGAACAAAACCCAAAAACGAACCACAAATGAAACAGGACTCATTGATCACATACCGACTTCAAGTGTTACTAAGATGTTTTTTTGTAGGTTTTTATTCTTCGTTCCAGGAGGCATTGTAGACACTCATCATCTCGTCACTTGGACGTACAGGGGAATTAAGTACATTCCCTGTTTGATTTGAGGGAACATGCCCCATTTGGGCTGATGGACCTCCAACCTTTGTCCTCCTTGCCCCCAAACCTGTATCAAAGGACAGGGGGTGAGTTGGTGGAATAATGAGCCCCTTTGCATTGCCTGCCTCTTAGCTCAACATTCTGAGCCTGCCGGAGACCTGGTGCTGAGCAAACAGGACCCCCCCACTCCACCCCCCCACCCCCGCCTGCACAGAGGCTGTGGGGGGGCGCACTTGACACAGGGAACAAGCAGGCATTGAAAGGATTTTCAGCGTGTGCACCTTGCAGCATCTTGGGCTCCCCGACAGCATGCCCTTCCCGTCGGCCGGCCGCCTCCTCTTTCCTTCTCTTCAGCTCACCGGAAGTGGTATTAATCCTGCATCGGGTCATACTTGTGGAGTTTTCCTTTCACTCTGTCGATGCAGTTCATTCCCAGACAGGGGTAGCCGCAGGGCCTGCTGTTCCAGAAAGGCAGCAGCTCCTGTTGGGTGCCAGTTTTCAGTGGGGGGGACTTTGGCGCTTGGGTTCCTCACATGGGCTTGGTGGGGACCCAGCCTTCTCTTCCAGTTACGCTGACTTGGGGCACTGTGATCTCAAGATCACACTTTTTCTGTATGAAAACTTTCTCATAATTCTGTTTGCCTGCAGAATTATATGGGCCAACTCTGGTTATTGACGAGTCTTCTTTCTTGAAGCAGTTGATACTTATTCTTCTTCTAACCTCCCTGGACTGCTGGAGCTTGGGCTTTACCCTAAGGACTCTGGTATGCTGCGGCTCCTTTGCAGAGATTTCTAATACTTCGAGTTTTGGGGGGTTTTTTTAAGACTATGCAGGTGTGTAAGGAAAGGCGAGAAGAGAGGGACAGAGTCACGTGATACCAAAATAGCCATATTTTTTTGTTGTTTTTTTCTTGACAGATGCAGCAGCTTTTTTATGAGAATTACGAACAGAACAAAAAGGGGTACATTCGAGATCTCCATAACAGTAAAATCCACCGAGCCATCACGCTGCACCCCAACAAAAACCCGCCCTACCAGTACCGACTGCACAGTTACATGCTCAGCCGGAAGATCGCCGAGCTCCGCCACCGCACCATCCAGCTGCACCGGGAGATCGTCCTGATGGGCCGGTACAGCAGCACCGAGATTCACAAAGAAGACCTGCAGCTGGGAGCCCCCCCTTCCTTCATGCGGTTTCAGCCCCGCCAACGGGAGGAGATCCTGGAATGGGAGTTTCTGACCGGGAAGTACTTGTACTCGGCCGCCGAGGGCCAGCCCCCTCGGAGAGGGATGGACTCCGCTCAGAGGGAGGCCCTGGATGACATTGTCATGCAGGTCATGGAGATGATCAACGCCAACGCCAAGACCAGAGGGCGCATCATTGACTTCAAGGAGATACAGTACGGCTACCGCCGGGTGAACCCCACGTACGGGGCCGAGTACATCCTGGACCTGCTGCTGTTGTACAAGAGGCACAAGGGGAAGAAGGTGACCGTGCCCGTGCGGAGACACGCGTACCTGCAGCAGACCTTCAGCAGGATCCAGTTCGTGGAGCACGAGGAGCTGGATGCCAGGGAGCTGGCCAACAAAATCAATCAGGAGTCCGGATCCTTGTCCTTCCTCTCCAATTCCCTAAAGAAGCTCGTTCCCTTTCAGCTCCCTGGCTCAAAGAACGAGCACAAAGAACCCAAAGAGAAAAAGATAAATATCTTGATTCCGCTGTCCGGGCGTTTCGACATGTTTGTGAGATTTATGGGAAACTTTGAGAAGACGTGTCTCATTCCCAATCAGAACGTCAAGCTCGTGGTTCTGCTTTTCAATTCTGACTCCAACCCCGACAAGGCCAGGCAAGTTGAACTCATGAGAGATTATCGCATCAAGTACCCCAAAGCGGACATGCAGATTCTGCCCGTGTCTGGGGAGTTCTCAAGAGCTCTGGCCCTTGAAGTGGGGTCTTCCCAGTTCAATAACGAATCTTTGCTCTTTTTCTGTGACGTTGACCTCGTCTTTACTACAGAGTTCCTTCAGCGGTGTCGAGCAAATACAGTTCTGGGCCAACAAATATATTTTCCAATCATCTTTAGCCAGTACGATCCAAAGATTGTTTATAGTGGGAAAGTTCCCAGTGATAACCATTTTGCCTTCACTCAGAAGACTGGCTTCTGGAGAAACTATGGGTTTGGCATTACTTGCATTTACAAGGGAGATCTTGTCCGAGTCGGTGGCTTTGACGTTTCCATCCAAGGCTGGGGGCTCGAGGATGTGGACCTTTTCAACAAGGTTGTCCAGGCAGGTTTGAAGACGTTCAGGAGCCAAGAAGTAGGAGTGGTCCATGTCCACCATCCTGTCTTCTGTGATCCCAATCTCGATCCTAAACAGTACAAAATGTGCTTGGGGTCCAAAGCATCCACGTATGGGTCCACACAGCAGCTGGCTGAAATGTGGCTGGAAAAACACGACCCAAGTTACAGTAAAAACAGCAATAATGGCTCAGTGAGGACAGCCTAACATCCAGCTCTGCTGGAAGAGACGTTTTTAATTATCTAATTTATTTTTCAAAAATTTTTTGTATGATCAGATTGTTTTTGAAGTCCATACAAGGATATATTTTACACATGATTTTCTTACAAAGGACTCCTTGATGATTGAGCTTTTTGAACAAAAATGTGATCATGTTTGCCTTTGAACACATTTTCTTGCTGAACGTTGGTGTAGCAGACCTGCTTAATGATGACTTGAAATGTACCTGATGAACAAAACTTTGTTGTTTGGTTTTGTTTTTTTACGCATTTCCTTTTCAGAACCCCCGCACCCCCTTGCTACAGTCGTCTGGCTGAAAACATGAACGTTCCTGCAAAGTATTATTGTAACAAAACACTGTAACCCTGGTAAATGTTTTCTTGTAACTGTTAACATTGCACAGATTCTACCTTTTGTCTTTTTTTTTTTTACGACGATTTATTTTTTTTTTTAAGCCATTTCATGTTCCAGTTGTAAAATAAGGAAATGTGATAATAACTGTATCATCACGGTCGGGAGAGCTTTCCAAAGTTGATTCTTTCCCCCAAACTTGTGCTCATCGTGGTCACGTAGTTTTAAAAACAAGGGGAGGAGAGGGACAGTTAGATGTATGGCTGTTCTTGTGGTCGTTCGTGTGGCTTAACGGACCTGGCATTAAATTCCAAGAAGGATTTGGTATTTTTTTTTTTTCCCTCTTCCTGACCCTTCTCTTTAAAGGGTAAACTATTATTAATATTTAGAATGGCAAAGAAGAATTATTGTAATAAATCTAATGTACACAAGCTAAAGCAGAAGCAAAAACCCGCCCTCATGGAAGCATTGGGGGAAAACGTACTTTGGTTTTGTTCACTTCATCGTGTCTGCGTTACATTATTGATGGCAGTGGTTGTTTCATTCTTTAATTACTGTTTTGTTTTATTCTTTGTATCCAAAATACCTTTAATTTATTTAATATCCATTGTTTAGAGTTCTGCCGTTTCTCCAGTACCTGTTAGTTATTAGTATTTATGTGTATCAGGAGTGTGTTTAGTGTTCTTTTATTTGCAGTAAACTGATCTCCAAAGATTTCCTTTTGAAAACGCTTTTTCCCTCCTCAATTTTTACATTCCTTCCTGTTTTACTAAATACTAAGTGTTCTATGACAATTTTGGTGCTCGCATGCTTTGGGGACAAAAGTGAAATGCAGTCTGTCATGACACCAGAACGTTTGTTTTCAACTCACAGATCCAATGTGCCTTAATAAATTGTTTTTTTTTTTCCATTTAGATTTCAGTCAGTAATAGACTTGCCATTTTAATACACATCGTTGGAGATCTGCTTATTTGTAAATAGTCTGTTGCTCATTTGGGAAAATAAACCAGTGAACAGTATTTTTCTATTGTACTTTTCAGGACCATTTTGTCTCATTACTCCTGTTTTAGCTAAGAATTGTATTACATTTGAAGAGTAAAACTCTGAAACACTGATTTCTAAAGGTTTCCAAGTTATTTGAGGGGAATATTTTGTGTAGACTGCAGTTTGGGAGTGATGTGAAGCTTTCAAGTGCCTCTTCCGCTATTGTCCCTTAGAATGAATTTTTTTTTTTTTTTTAAGATTTTATTTATTTATTCGACAGAGAGGGACAGCGAGAGAGGGAACACAAGCAGGGGGAGTGGGAGAGGGAGAAGCAGGCTTTCCATGGAGCAGGGAGCCCGATGCGGGTCTCGATCCCAGGACCCTGGGATCATGACCTGAGCTGAAGGCAGACGCTTAACGACTGAGCCACCCAGGTGCCCCACCCCCCCTAGGATGAATTTTACTTTTGTTCCTCTTCAGCTTGCTGAATCTGTGTTCCCTAGAACAAGGGTCTTCAAACCCATTCTAAGCCTCATCCAGCTTCTTGGTACACGTGCACCTTCCTGGCCCCAGAGTGGGACCGACTGGGCCCATTAGAACCTGCATTTTAACAAGTGCCCACATGAGGCTGTGTGCACGAACATTCTCGGGGTTTTGGGATAGATCTAACTACAGGATAAATTGTGTATAGTTGCTATGTAATCGAAGAATCAAAAAAAGTAAGACCTTTGATGTCAAGGTAGCAAGCTTTGTGGAAGCCAGTCCCACTCCCAGGACAGGTATTTACCATGTAATGACAGTTAAGACCCAGTATAATAACATTGTGCTCTCAGTAGGAATTGCTGTCATTCAGCCTAATTGTCATTTACTTTGTGGGAATGTTTAGTTTTTCTTCGGAAGAAAGCACATTTTTATTCCTCAGTAAGGAAGAGCACAGTATGCACCTTGATGACAAAGTAATTTAAATTCTCTATCATGATAGTGAACTGTCAGGATTTTTGATGGGGGTTGTATGAGCAGTGACCTTGTCAAGCTTGAATGTCTGTCCAGCATCATGGTGACCCTTTGTTAAAGTTCACCATTTCCTTCCTACTCCCACTCCTGCTCAAGTCTGTTCCTCTTCCTGATGCCCACGTGGATGTTTATGGAGGTGGCGCCCTCCCTCCCTCACGAGTGCGCCTTTAGAAAGGCTGCGAAGGGAAGCCTGGGTGGCTCAGTCGGTTAAGCGTCTGCCTTCACCTCAGGTTATGATCTCGGGGTCAAGCCCCACATTGGGCTACCCGCTCAGCGGGCAGGCTGCTTGTCCCTCTCCCTCTGCTCTTCACCCCTGCGTGCTCTCTCTCTCTCTCTCCCCCCTCTCTCAAATAAATAAATGAAATCTTAAAAAAAAAAAAAAAAATAGGCTGCTGGACCTCTTCTGGTCCCCCTCTCCTGGTCGTGCCATGCCCAGAGTCTGCACCCACTGGCCTCCCGGTTCACTCTCCTCCTGGCCTCTCCTCTTCCAGCAGAGCCAGGGTCCCTCTTACTAAAGTGCTCTTCCAAATTGGCAGTTCCAGTGCCTTCCTGCCCAGAGAGCGGGCCCTAGAGGTCCCCTCCTTAGGAACCTCCTCCAACCAAACTGGGTTCCAAGTTTGTGGGGACATCAGGGTCTTTCCTGCTCGGACCTCAGTCTGAAACTCTCTCTGCACACCACTGTGCTGGCCAACTGGGCTGATCCTCCAAGAGCCAACTGAAACTCTCCCATTGTCCACTCTGGTGTCACCCCGGACCCTTCCAGTGTAGAGGTGGCACAGCTAGACTTAATTCTATGGTCATGTGATCATAGTCTTCCTCACTGGACTCTTGGCTGTGGTACCCCGGCATGTTGAGCCCTCTTGTCAAGAAGGACCGTGTCCTCCACTGTCCCCAGCCTTGCCGTTAGCACACGGTTCCCCATCTTGTGTGTTCCTTGCAGTGGAATATCCACGCGGCCCGCCTCCCTGCCACTGCATTAGTCGTGGCCCCGTGGCCCACCCACACTCGTGACCTGGAAATAATTGCTGCTTCTCTTAGAACTCTGAGGGCTTTCTAGTTCTACTCTTTGTTTCATTTGTTACTTTATACTTAGTGTGCATTACTGTATTTTAAATACAGAAAAGTATTGAAATGGCCCATAGCCCCACAAACCAGATAACTCCTGTTAACAGTACTTAAAAATGAAGACTCCTAGTGAGGATGGTTGGAAGGGGGAAGGTCACAATGGTACACAGAGGCATGAAATGGAGCCTTCCTCTTCCCTCCATCCATCCAGCCCTGGGGGCCCTCCCACAAAGAACCACCAGGTCTGTGGCCTGGTGGGGAAGGGGTGGTGTGAATCATAGGTGAATTAGGTCGGTAGCATTTTAAACAACTCATTTACACCAGTGAGAGCCACATGCTTATTTGCTGGGGCACAAGGGCCCAGGTGAGCCTCTTGCTGCAGGACAGAGAGACCTGGTGCTCTGAGGACTTGGCAAACATATTTCTGGAGGGCAGGGCAGGGCTGAGTGGGCTTGTGGGTGCGCGTGGGTGCACGTGTGGGAGCAGAAGAGCCCTGTCTCCTGGGACACACACTGACTGTACTCGCCTCTGGGAGGTGGGATCGCTTTCCCAGCACTGCTATTCTGGGCCAACATGAGACCACAGTATGCACATGGAGCCCTGGCATTCCAGGACTTCGATGTTTGGAGACAGGGCCATGGTCACAAAGTGCACGTCATGTGACAGTCCCTCTTGGCTGCAAAGTAGGCAGCCCGGGAGCGAGGGAGGCGCATTCCCTCCCACCGGGTCTGAGAGCAGAAGGGGCAGGTGCTGCTGGCGCGCCCACGGCTGGGGCCCTTCCCGAGTTCAGGGCACGGAAGTAGCCCTGACCCTCCGAAACGGCCTTCCCTAGTCTCCCCGAACTCCATCAGCCCGGCGGATCAAGCTCTCGGTCTCTGTGTCCCCTTCCTGCCCAGCCTTTAGACCTGTCCCCTTCACGAAGCTCGCCAAGCCTCAGCCCTGGCTCCGCGGACTTGTGCTCTCTCTGCTGCTCCGACCGCAGGCGCGGGGGACGCGGACGACAGTCCCATTTTGCCTCAATCCTGTGCCCTTGAAGGGTCGCCTGGAGGACAGTGAAGGGGACTGGTGGGTTTTCAGAGGCATTCTGATGCCGGCTCTCTTGCCCTTTAGTAAAAAGTCTGTCCTCCTGGAAGGTGAACGCCTGCGGGACTGCCTGCCCGCTGGACGCTCTCAGCAGCTCCGGGGCTCCGCCCTGGCCCCAGATTTCAGCCTCTGTCCTTGTGCTTTCTTGTCGTGGAGGGAAATGAGCGCCAGCCCGCCTGCACCTGCGCTGGCGCCCGCCCTGGGGGATTAGGCTGTGTTACTGCGTATAAATTGCTGTAATCTCTGCTGCAAAGGAGCTTATGTGCCCCTGTGACTGGGGGCCGGCCGGGAGGGGGGTCTGTCTGCTGAAGTGGCTGCACAGGGCTGTGCCTACCTCAGTGGGTCCCACTGTGCTTTTTCAAGCCCTCGAAGGATGGGCTTCTGTTCCACTTGAAGGAAAAGGCTGCTCACACCAAGTCTGCTTCGTCAATGTTGCAATGCATCGGATCGGATTACAGCAATGACTTCCAGTAGGAAAAAACCCTCCTCCTGTTAGTTTTGCAGTGCTTCAGGGTTTTGGGCTTTCTGCAGGGATGTAGGGGGGTGGTGGGGAGAGGGGGGTGGTGGGAATATAAAAATCTCCAACCGGAAACCATAGGGCCAACCAGATTAGGGGCTGGTTTGTCAACAGGGCAGTTAAACCACTTAGGTGCCTGCCGTCAGATACTTTTTCGATGCATTAATTTGCCATTTATTCTATTCCAGTTATGAGGGTTTTCCTGTCTTACTACAACAATCAAAACCAAAATTTTGTCCTTTAAAGAACATTCTAGCTGCATTTTCTTTAAAACAGTAAGAGTTGTTATGCCTGACTGATTTCTAATGAGAAAATATAACAAGAAACTGATCAAGTCATTTAATAATGCATATCAGGCAAGCTCTGGAATCTACCTAAACGGTTCTCTCCATCCAGCAGTTTGTCACAATTAAGCCAGCGAAGCCTCTGGGCTGCCACCTTCCCTTTCCTCTTGCTGATGTGCCACGACTCAACACCGCATGCCTGGCTCGATGCGACCTACACGTTCCCACTGGAGAAAGGAAAACGCTTTTAGCCAAATCCCTAAGTGACCTTCACATTTATTAATTCTGAATTAAGTTTGGGTCTTTCTTTAGGCAAAGGCTCACTGCCTGTTACAAAACAACAGGGGAACTCTCAGCCATAGGCTCAAAATGCCTTCGGAAAGCTAGAAATTTCCTAAAATGCACATTCAAGGAGTTGGGAAGGAAGCATTTTGCATTTTTTAAGTCTGTCTCCCCTTGTGGATAACACTGTCATTAATCACAGTATGAAAATATGCATACTGGGCAGTTGAGTCAAGAAGGAAAGACCTTCTCCACCACCCTGTTCCCACTTCGGTGAATTCCTCTGGGGTTTTGGTGACATATTTAGAGTTTGATGCAGTGGGGAACATACGGTGTAGCCACTTGCTCCCCTGCTCCTTTACCGCACGCTTGAAAACCCCTCTTTTGGTCCTTTGAAATCATCGTTAATGGCTGCCTTCTCTGGTAGAGTTGAGAACTTTCCCAGTGTCCACCGCCTTGAGCGCCCCACATTCTACCCCGAATAACGCGGCAGCGAGCCCACAGCCCGTCTTGTGCTTGGACCATCAGATTTCCAGAAGTGAGCCATCTACCTCTAGGGCTGAGGGACCTGGTGTTGGCCTTATTTCTGACTTAACAGGAAGCCATTTGGTATTTGACGTGGTCAACGTTGACGTTTTGTGCCTGCTAGCAATTCCAATAAAACCTTTTAAAAATAAACTTGAACTCAGCCAAATGACCTTCCAGAAATACGAGGGGAATATTGCACACGGAATCTGGGTTACACCATCCCATGAGAACGGCAGCCCCACAAACCCAACTCTGGGACTGCTGAGTCACTGAGTCACTACGAAGTGAGAGAAAAGGCAGATGGGTTTATGGGTGAGTCAGGGAGTGAAGAGAGGCAAGTTCCAGACAGACGGCCTGTTTGGGCACAAGGTCCGTTTCTCGGCTCCCGGGCCACAGGCATCCGTCCCAGGAGACGGGAGGGCAGGGGTCAGGAAGGGGCGTGGCCGGCTCGAGATAAGCGCCGCTCTTTCCAGACTTCACAAGGCAGTGGGGGTGCGGGGCGAGGTGTGGACGTGACCAGAGGCACCGGGCATCCCTCCTCGCTTTCAGTGTTCGAAGCTGGAACTACCAACCACGCTCCTGTGTTCTCAGCAGGTTTGGAGGACTCCCTAGGTATTATATCATAAGTATAGCTTATTGTCACTTCGCATCTGTAGGTCTTGGAAGCCAAAGCGCGTGACTAGATTGGAAGGTGGTTTCGGCTGTGGGCTGGTTAAGGCCTGGGGCCTGGAGAGCAGACGATGAAGGAAGATGTGGGGCATCTCCTGGTTAGCAAAGGACAGCTGGACACCCCTGTTGGGCCCCAGTGAGCCGGAGATCTCTGAGAGCTGGTCTTGGGCTCAGGGAAGGCCGGGGCTAGCGCTTGTCCACGGGCTGGAGCGGGCAGAGGGCTGGGGGGGCTCGCCATGCGGTCATCGGTAAGGAGCGCTTGAGGTTATGATTCACGGGCCTTCTTTAAAATTAGGTCTGGGGATGGGCCTTTCCTTCTCCCAAAAGGATGTGCCTTCTGGCAAAAACTTGCCAGGCCCAGTTTCTCTGATGCGGATTGTCAGGGCAGTCCCTGGCTGGGCCACATCCTCAAGAGGATGTGACTTTTATGGCCCGCCGGCCTGGCGGGATGGGAAAGCCCTGTCCAGCCCCAAGACGGTATCCCGCGGGCCTGGGGGGGGGGAGGGTGGCACGGGCGGGTTGCTGGACAGTCTCGGCCGCTGTGCCTGCCCAGGAGCTGGGGCTTGGCTGCCAGGTCTTCCCCGAGCTAGGAGGATGCTTGGCTTCCATTACCTGCCCCACTGGGGACCCTCCAGTTAGCTCATGCCCTGCAGGGCCATGTCACCACCCTCACCTCCTGGCTAAGGGCCTGACGCTGCCCCCCTTTGCCCCCCAGTCATGGCTGTAGCAAACGGCTGCCCCCGTGTTGCTTTGGGAGGTGAGTTTATCACAGAATCTATTTCGCCCCAAAGTCTGTCCCCTCGCCACCCACTGAAGTGCATGCACGGTTGGGGTTAGGGTGACGTTCTTTTGCTTGCCCTATTTCTGGCTCCGTGTGTTTGCTTTTTCTGCCTCCACACAGTCAGTCCCAAATTAGGAGGAAAATGTCCACAAACTGCAAGATTGGGGAGAGCATGTGACACATACAGACTAGCATAGACTGGCACTCCGATGCTGCAGATTGTCTCAAAATGACTTGTCGGAGAGGATGTAGAGTTGCCAACTTTGGAGACAGATGCTGTGCAAACCGAAACCCTCTGCGGACTGGGACGGTAGCAACACAGTTCCTACCTGGGGCGAGGAGTCGCCGTGGCGGGGTTCTGAAGGGCAAGCAGCTCTCCGTCCTGTGGATGTAGGGGTGCCGCCAAGTGGGGCTCCTCAGGCAACATGGAAGCCAGATTCGAGGGGTGCCCCACAGGATGTCCTGGGCTCTCTCAGCAAAATGTCTCTCTGTGGGAGATCGATTCGCTGCTGGAATACAGCTCCAGGGGATTTCACAGACCTGGGTCTCCCGAACTAGCCGGGGCTGGGGGTGGGGACAGATGGGGGACAGTGAATCCATCATGCCATTCCTTGTAACCCACCTGATGCCCCAGCCTGTGGTTATACAAACCCGGGAGAGTTTGGGATGAAGGGCAGGGCATAAAAATACAAAGAACTGGGTTTGGAAAGTGTTTGGTTTGGCACTGGGGGGAGAGAAGCGGCCCCAGAACCAGGCAGACGTGGGTTTGGGTCAGCGGTGGGCTGGAGTGGGCAGCTCTCCCCAACCCTGCATTCGGTGACCCCACGCCGGTCCAGCAGCCTGCAATCGGCCGAGGTGGGAGTATTTATACCCCCGGAGAGGGTAAATGCTTCGAGTCAGGACTTCTTTTCTTTCCTTGTCTGTCTGGAGTTGGCCTTCCCAGCACAGCAACTGGTTCGCACTGGTTGGGCTCAGGCCCACAGACGATGGGCCAGGCCCTGTGTGAGTCTGCCAGCCACCGAGTGACCTCGGGCAGGTTCCCGGTGGTGCCAGGGCTCGGCTTTCTGCTCTAAAATGGGCAGTTATGACGACCTCGTGAGACTGATGAGAGAATCCACAGAACCTGGTTCTTTCAGCGCCTGTCCCTGTGTTTCAGTTAACGTGTCCCCCCCCACCCCGTGTCCCCACCTCGAAATTGCAGTTGCTCCAAACTCTTGCAGACCCGTATCCGGTGACTCATCAAATCCCACAATCCCTCCTGGATCTAAAGTCACCAGGGTGGCCCCTCCTCCCACCCCATCGTCTCCCCACAAAACTGCCTGGATCGGGCAGGTCCTGCCCATTTCCTGCTCCTCCGGTCCAGCTGCTTCTCGGCCATCGGACTCTTCTTTAAAAAGACAAACCGTATTTGTCCTCTTCTGCTTAGACGCAACCCCGGTTTCAGTCCAGACTTCGAGCAAGGCCTGACTGCCCCGCGGCGGCTCTGCTTGGCCCGCCTCTCCCCCTCCTCTATCTTTCCAGCCGCATCTGAGCTCAGCAACCCCTGCCCCCATCACCACGCCTCCCTACCCAAGAGGAGACAGGAAATCCCTCTTAAAACTGCAAGCGGGGGCCCATTCTGGGCTTGGGAGGCCGGCCCCGTCTCTCCTGGGCAAATGTGCAGGTTCCGTGGCAGTGTGACCCTCTCACTCTGGCCTGTCTGGGCCCGGTAGGTGGAGCTCCATCCTGCCGCCGCCCCTATCCGAGGCCCCCTTTACTCACCTTTGTAGGCCCTGGCTCCTCCCTGGGAGCTTCTGGTCTCCATCTGCCCGTTGTCTGGCTGTCACACCAGGCTGGCCCAGACGGAGCCTTGCTCACCTTTGTGACTCACCAGGGGCCTGGCCGGCCCTGCTGTGTAGCCAACGTCAGTTTCCCTTGACTTCTATTCTAGGCTCTTGGCTGGCTTTCTTGCCAAGGGGAATTAACAAGCGAGATGAAATATTTCTATACAGACAGCCTGGGACATTCAGTTTTTAGGTGAAAACAATCGAACAGCTTTCAGTAAGAACTGCAAGAACAAGAACCTTACTTCAGAGACGTGGAATGCTTTCCCTCTTGAATCATGAAACTAACATTTATGGAACAGTTACTAAGTGCCAGGCACTTTGTATGTTACTTCATTTACTGTTCCCTCAATCCCTGTGAGATCAGTATTCTGACTTCAGTTTATAGGGGAGGAATGGAAGCTCAGAGAGTTTAGGTGACATGCCCAAGGTCACAGAGCTAATAAATGGCAGATCCAAAATTCACACCAGATCAGCCTTTTTTCAAAAGCCACGTCTCGGTTGGGGGGGGCGGTGGGGGGGTGGGAGGGGAGGGAAGGCAGTGTATCTACTTGTCAGGGAATTTACTGTCCTCAATTTAGAGCACTCACAGAGTACCAGGATGTGGGAACCCACTGAATGAGGGTGTTTTCAGAACCATAGAAAAGGGCAGAATGCATAAATACTTTATCTTTTACTCTTCCTCTCCCTTTTTAAATGCTGAATTTTTTTAAGACTCCCCAAACACACAATTCAACATAGATACAGTAAAAAATATTTTTTTTTCAAAATACACAGTATTCAGAAGAATTAAAGTTCCAGTAATGGTGGAGTACCTTGTATCAGACTCACTCTCCCACTGATAGTGATGATAAACTACGGACAAAATAGCTAACATGCGCGCCCACACACACACCGCCAGAAAAAAAAATTTAAAGATTTGAAGGCACTAGAGTGACAAAAATCAGACAGATACCAGAGGAGATTTGACCCTTGAATGATGGGAACTACATATTGTTATAATTACACATGTTATTTATCCTGCTCTTCCCTGAAGGGCACCTCCTGGCCACAGAGCACGGGGTGGGGGCGGATAGGGACGCAGAAAGTTCCACTGTTATTGGCTTGAGGTGTCAGAGGATGAAGTTTAGAATTAACAGAGTAACTGGCACTGGAAGAAGGAAATCCCAGGGAGATGTGGAGGAGGGACGCTCCAAATCTGCATATCAACTCTGTTCCCAGAGTCAGTTCCTCCTGAACTATGCTTGCAATGGGGAGACTCCAAGGAGTACAGTGTAAAGCAATAGCTGTAAGGCAGGAAAAGCTAATTGAAAATTTCAGCTGCTTCCCATTGCACTGGAGTCAGAGTGTGGAGTTAGGATCCCACTTAGTTGGAGGAGCTTCACAAACACCAGGGGGTTTCTACTGAAACCCCAAAGGCGCTGCGTATTCAGAGCAAAGACTGTGTCTCAGATTTATCCTAACACCAGTGGTGAAATCAAAACAGACTTCTCCCAATAAGTGTGAAAAACAAGCCTCCACAAAATCAAGATGATAAGCAGGGAATTTAATAGGTATTCACAAAAATCTACACTCTTCAGAGGAAGATAACAGGATCCAGAGTTTGTACAATCTCATTTATGAGGTCTAGAATTCCCCTCTTAGTCAAATCTTTCTTAGGGCCTTGGGCAGAGTTTTAGGCATGGCTCCCCATTCCCATTCTGGACCCCCCTTTGCACCACACCTTGGTAAGTTCTAATACTTACCTGAGGGCTTCTTGTCAAGATCTGCTGGTTGTCTGGCTGCCACACCAGATTGGTAACTTTTGATTAGTAGACGTGTGTGAAAAAACAGAGAAATGTGACCTATGGTCAAGAGAAAATTCAGGCCATAGAAACAGACCTGAGATGAGCCAGATATTCGTATTATCAGATAAGTCTTTAATAAAGCAAGTATAAAATATTCAAGGAGTGACTATAGGGAATCTTAATTGAGAAATAGAAAATAGAAAAAAGAATTTCATAGGTATTCTGAAAAATACAATATCTGAATGAAGAATTCACTGGATAGACTTAACAGCATATTGAAAATTACAAAAAGTTTTGGGGTTTTTTTTGAGATTAAAGAAATTAGCAAACCACTGCAAAACTGATCAAGAAAACAAGAGAACAAAACACAATTTACCAATATCAGAAATGAAACAGAGGATATCACTACAGATCCTGCAGCTATGAAAAGAGTAGTAAGAGACTATTAACTTTATGCTAATAAATCCAATAACAAAGATGAAATGGACCCATTTAAAAACACAATTTACCAATATTGATATGAGATGAAATAGCTAATCTGAATAGCCTTTCATACAATAAGAAATTTAATTTGTAATTAAAAACCTGGCCAGAGGAAAAACTCCAGGCCAGATGGCTTCACTGGTGAATTATATCAATATTTTATAAAGAAATGATAACCAACCTCACAGAAACTGTTAGGAGGTAGAAGAGGAGAGAACATGTCCCAATTTCATTTTTAAGGCCAGCGTAACCCCAATACCAAAACCTGACAAAGATACTGGAGGCTTTGTAGAGGACTTTGGCTCTACAGAGTGGGCCCCACTATCATGTCCTCCACTGCAAGGCCTCTCTTCATGGGACACCCTGTCTCAGTTCCGATAGTGCCACTTGCCATATTCAGGAAACATTTGTTACCTGCTGGGCCCCTTCTTCTCCTTCTTCCTCTTCTCCTTCTCCTTCTCCTTCTCCTTCTCCTTCTCCTTCTCCTTCTCCTTCTCCTTCTCCTTCTCCTTCTCCTTCTCCTTCTCCTTCTCCTCCTCCTCCTCCTCCTCCTCCTCCTCCTCCTCCTTCTTCTTCTTCTTCTTCTTCTTCTTCTTCTTCTTCTTCTTCTTCTTCTTCTCCTTCTCCTTCTCCCTCTTCCTCTTCTTTCTTCTTTCTTCTTCTTCTTCTTCTTCTCCTCCTCGACTCCTTCTTTCTTCTTCTTCTTCGATTTATTTATTTATTTTAGAGAGAGAGAGTGCAGGGGGTGGCACAGAGGGAGAGGGAAAGAGGGTCTCAAGCAGACTCCACACTCACTGCAGAGCCCCATGTGGGGCTCGATCTCACAACCTCCAGATCATGACCTGAGCCGAAATCAAGAACTGGACACTGCTGCTCAACCAACTGCACCACCCAGGCACCCCTGGGCCTCTCCTGCTTCACTGTTCCAACGCTGCCAGGCACAAAGATAAACCCGGGGTCTTGCTAATATCCCCAGTCTGACTCAGGATGGGGGCATCAGTTCCCTCTGCTCTTAGATTCCCAAGAAACTAAGGGCTCAAGAAAGATAAGCCAGAGACAGGAAGCCCACCTCAAGCTCTGCTCTGCCCCTTGCTTCTCCTCCTCCTCATCTAAGGGATCTTTATGTCATCTCCTGGGCATGAGATACTAGCTCTGACTTATCTGCATCCTTTTGAAAATCAAAAGTCAAGAACCTTGGCTATTTATCATCTATGTTCTACTGCAACAACCATCCCTTGAGGAAATGGATGTCTCATAGGCCTGCTGTTTGATTGAGGGAACAACGTGGGGTAACAGGAGATAGTGGTGTGGAGGAAATACTTGTCTTCAGAACATGATTCTGCCATACTTTTCTGTAATAGGGACTGCTTAAATAAAGCCTGGGCAGACAGAGAGATAGCTTGATGGGACAGGCTAGAGAGCTCAGAAGCAGGTCTGTGCACATGGACATGAGATGTTACAGGGTGGCCTGAGGATCTGCGGGAGAGGACTGACTTCTCAACAAATGGTGCTGGGACAGTTGAGTAGAATGAGATCCCAACCTTATGCCATAAGCGGAATGGATTAAAAACCTGAATATGAAAAGCAAGACCATACAACTTTTAGAAAGTAACATGGGATGATATCTTCTTGATCCTGGGGTTAGGAAGGGTTTCTTAAACAAGACCCAGAAATGTACTAACCATAAAGGCAAAGACTAATACATTCATATCAAAAGGCATCATAAAAGGAACAAAAAGATAAGCCATAGACCAGGAGAAGATATTTGCAACACATATAAATGACAAAATACTTATATTTGGAATACATAAGGCACCCCCTATAAGCCAATAAGAACAAGACAGACCACCCATAGTGAATGGGCAAAAGATCTCAACAAGAATTGCACAATGAAGGGAATTCAAAGGGCTAATAAACATGAAAAGATACTCAATATTGTTAGTAATCAGGAACATGCAAATTAAAACCACAGTGAGATACTCTCACACATCATTAGAGGAGTAAATCATTTTCAAGTCTAATGAATGATCCCTAGTGTTGGTGAACACAGAGAGGAATGAGGGCTCATCCACTGTTGACAGGAATGTACATTGGGATAGACACGTTGGAAACAAGTTTGGCATTATCTCATCAAGTTGATGACACACATATTGTCTTAGGAGCAATTCTTCTCATAGCTACGTATTCAGAAGAAATGCATGTGCACTAAGATTCATATATAAGAATGCTCACTATAATATTCATTGCTCATGATAGCCAAATATTGGAAACAACTCAAAGGTTTCCAAACAATAAAAGTAGATGAAGAGAGTAAGTATATATGGATATAAGGAATACTATCTAGCAACAAAAGCTAATAAACTATTCTTACATGCAACCCTGGGTGAATCCAACAAAAGAATGAAAAAAAGTCAGCAGAAGGATATTACTGTATGTTTCCATTCCTATAGAATTCAAAAAACAGCCAAATTAAACAATGTTGTCTAGAGATGAATCCAAAGATGGTAAAACTGCTAGGAATAAAAGGGAAATAATTATCATAAAGACAGGCTGGTTGTTGAATCTGTCAAGAAAAGGGTTTCTGGGGTGCAGGAAAGATTCTGTTTCTTTACCCAAGTATTCATATTATAATTACTATTTAAACTGTACATATGCTAATGGCCTTTTTTATATTTATTAGCCATCTCACAAAAGAAATGAATGAAAAGAAAAACTGAAAAAAAGAAAAAACCATGGCACTCTATGCTGGATCCACTAAAACTCATCTTCCTGAAGACACTTCTACAACATGGGACGTTGTTCATATACTAATAAGAATAGGAAGCAAGTTACAAAACCATATATGCACGACATGAACTCAACTTAGAGGGGAACCCATGTATTCGCGGAGAAAAGATCTGATGGGAAAACCTCAAAAATGTCAACAGCAATTCTTCTCCTTTGTATACTCTTAAGTGATACCCCAATTTTCACAATGAACAGGTGTTAATTTTCTAGTTTTAATAGGAAACCAATATATGTTATGTAAATTCTCTGCAGAAAGGTCTGACGTAAGACTTACCATGTTACTTCCAATAATCAGGATCGGGTGTGGGAAACGGAAGCCCCTCAAGGCACTTCCAGGAAAGGTATCACATAGAGGGGATTAGGAGTCTGCTGTGCTCTGGGAAGGCTAGAGGAGCCGGACCCATTTGTAGGAGGGCACACCGCTGTGGCTCTGATTCAAAAGTCATGTCGAGGCCACCACAGCCACATGCACCTGTCACACCCATGAAGCATCTCGAGCTATTGCTATAGGTTGTGGGGGGCCCCAGACAGCTACAGCCTCCGTATCAGTCCCGCCTCGTAGATCACACGAATGCCTCTGCTCTGTGCACCCAGGTGTAGGAGTCTGGTGAGTGGAGGTTAGAGCATTGTGGCCCCTGCACACCGTCCCTGGGGATTCTGCTCCAGGGGGTTGGAAAGGAGGTGACCGAGAGAGCCAGCTTTCCCTTTGTACTTTATACCCTGCGGATGTAAAGCCAGGGCTAGCGTAACAGACTACTATAGACCGGGCGACTTAAGCAACAGAAACGTATCATCTCAGCGCTGGAGGCTGGAAGTCCAAGATCAAGGCATCTCGGCAGCATGGGTCCTTTCTGAGGCCATAGGGAGAATCTGTTCCGGGCCTCTCTCAGTGGATTATAGATGGCTGTGCCTTCACGGGGTCTTCCCTCTGTGCGTATCTCTGCAGTCACACTTTCTGTTTTATAAAGACATATATAAATGTCTTTTATGGATTATGGAGTGGATCAGGGGCTACCCACTCCAGTATGACCTCATCTTAACCAAGGACACCTACATTGACCCTGTTTCCAAATCAGCTCACATTCTGACATACTGGGGATTAGGACACAGGAATCTGCGAGGGGAACACAATTCAGCCCATAACCATGCGTTCAAGCTTCTTACTAAAAGCATGTATAATGGAGGGCAAAAGGAACCCCAAGATTCTCTGTGGATAAATCATGGAGACTTTGACAATGTGCTGTTCTGGGATGGGCGTTGTGGAGGCTGGGACGCTGGGGAAATGGGCAAGGCCAAAGGCCACAGAGGTCAACTTTCTGAGAATATTCTTCCAGGTGATCGCTCTGTTGGCAGCAGAACGGAAGAACTGACATAAAACCCCATCTGCCTTCTGCACCGCCAAGGGGTTTCATTTTGTGTGGGGGGACCCCCCGCACTGTCTGTCCTGTCTCTTTTTACCTTCTCTGGTAGAATCCAGCTGCCATCTGGCTGGACTCACATTGGAGGGGGAGGAGGGGGGCCAGTCCCTGGGGCCTGGGGCTCCCACATCCCTTTATTATGCTGGGTCTGGCTTTGAGCCTAGGAAAGCTTTGGGAGAACAGGCAGAGGCCCTGCAAGAAGGTCCCGTCTTGCTCTGATCTGGCAGAGACCCGGCTTCGGAGTGGGGACACATGCCTGCCTTCCTCGTGGAGCTGCCGCAGGGTCGCTGCTCCAGGGGCAATGGGATGTGGCTCCCGAGAGGCCGACCTCGGGAGGGCCCAGGCTCCCTCCACCCTGCTGGGATCGTCCCCTTGAATGATAAGCGGTCATCCGTGGCCAGAGGGTCGGAGCGGAGCCTTGTGGCTCCCAGCGAGAGTTTCTGGTTTCCCTTCCAGCGGGTGTTGGCCGGGACTGCACGGATGCCTTTGTCCCTGCTGGTTGCTCCGAAGCTTGGATTCCATCCCTGGCCAGGCCCCAGAGATGCCGGCTGGTTTTCTCCAGCAGAAGAAGCTGTTCTTTCTGTGTCTGCAGATGGTCCTGTTGCAAGCACCTCGGTCAGGCTGGTTCTGGAAGAGCAAGCTAAAATGAGCAGACGTTCGCCTTCCTTTGAGAGGGTGCTGCTGGCTGGGTTGGAAATGGCCTTGGGGTTAGTGGGGGTCTGTTCAGCACTTCTCTGGGGATCGTACATCCTGTCCCCTCCATGCCTTGCTTCTCTCTCTTCCTCCCCCTTCCTCCTCTTAGCCCTATGGACACCGCCACACAGCCTTCCACTTGCCTCCGGCACAACCCTGCTCCAAAACCTTTGATGGCTCCCTCTTGCCTAAAGTGGTGTTTCTCAAACTGTGTGCCTCGGACTTGTTTGTAGCTCATAAAAGATCACCCCTCCCAGCTCTCATCCCAGACCCAGCAATCAGGTCTCCAGTCGGGGAGCCCAAGAACTTTAACTTGCTTCTTAGGTGACTTTTGTTTTAAATTTGTATATTTAAAAAATATTGTGGTAAAACACACATAATATACAATTTACCACTTTAGCCATTTTTAAGCGTACAGTTCAGTGGACTTAAGTACTAGTATGGGCTGAATGTTTGTGTCCTCCCCGAATCCAGATGTTGAAGACCCAACCTCCGTTGGGATGGTATTTGGAGGTGGGGCTCTTGGGAGGTGCTTAGGTTTAGATGAGGTCAGGAGGGTGGGGATCTCATGATGAGATTAGTGCCCTTCTGAGAAGAGAAGAGAGGATCTCTCTTTCTCTGTGAGCACCCACCAAAGAAAGGCCATGGGAACGCACAGTGTTAGAAGACAACTTTCACCAGACCCTGTCCGCTCTGACACCTGCTCTTGGATTTCCATCCTTCAGAGCTGAGAAAGTAAGGGGCTGAGGTTTGCGTCACCCAGGCTGGTATTCTGGAATGGCAGCCTGAGGGCCTGAGACAAGTCTGTTCACACCCCAAGATGTTGCCTCCATTGCAACCAGTCATCCCCGGAACTTTTCATCTCCCCCATCTGAAACTCTGCCTAGTAAACACTCACTCCCCCTTCCCTCCCTCTGCCCCTTCTTCTTCCTGTCTCTATGAATTTGACAACTCGAGGACCTCACATAAGCAGAACCATACAATCTTTGTCCTCTGTGACTGGCTGATTTCACGTATCCTTGTGTTCTCCCGGTTCATCCATGTTGTAGCCTGTGTCCAAATGATCTTTCTTCTTAAAACTGAATAAGCTTCCACTGTTTGTAGAGACTACATTTTGTTTATCCGGTCATCAGACGATGACACTTGGGTTGCTTACACATTTTGGCTATTGGGAATGATGCTGCTGTAAACACGGATATACAAACAGTTCTTCCAGACCCTGCCTTCAGTTCTTTCGGGCAGATATCTGGAAGTGGAATTGCCGGATCATATGGTAATTTTATTTTTAAGATTTCCTACAAACTGTCATTCCGCAGTGGCTGCGCCATTTTGCATTCCCACCCACGGTGTGTGAGTGTTGCAATGTCCCCACATCCTCACTGATACTTGTTATTTTCTGTTTAGTTTGTTTGTTTGGTTAGTTGGTTAATTATTTGGGGTTTTTTTGGTAATAGTGATCCTAATGGGTATGAAGTGATATCTCACTGTAGTTTCGATTTACATTTCTCTGATGATGAGTGATGTTGAGAACTTTTTCATGGGTTTACTGTTCATTTGTATATTTTCTTTTTTTTTAAGATTTTATTTATTTGAGAAAGGGAGAGAGAGAGCATGAGAAGGGGGAGCAGCAGATGGAGAGGGAGAAGCAGGCTCCTGATGAGCAGGGAGCCTGATGCAAGGCTCCATCCCAGGACCCTGGGATCGTGGCTTGAGCCGAAGGCAGACGCTTAACCAACTGAGCTACCCAGGTACCCCTATTTGTGTATTTTCTTTGGAGAAATGTCTACTCAAATTTCTTGCCCGTTTTAAAATTGGATTTTGTTGTTGAGTGGTATCTATAGCCAATTTAATATATATATATTTATAGAGTGAGCAGGGGCAGAAGCAGAGGGACAAGGAGAGAGAGAATCCCAAGCAGACTTCCCACTGAGCATGGAGCCCGATATTGGGCTCGATCTCATGACCTCAAGATCATGATCTGAGCCAAAATCAAGAGTGGGACACTCAACCAACTGAGCCACCCATGTGCCCCAAGTTGTATCTATTGGTGATTTTGATGGAGGGTAAAGTGAGAGACCATTGGCGAGCAAATGAGCCCTTTGTAGGGCATCCAGGGCCCTCTGTAGTGGGGCCTGCCCTGCCTTCCATCTCATTTCCTGCTGTTCCCAGCAAGAATGCTTTGCTCTAGCTGGACATTTCCATCTTCTGGCCTTCATTTATACCATTCCAAAAACGTGGACCTCTGCAGCAGGCAAACTTTTTCTTATCTGCATAAGAACCACCCTCTTCCATCTCCTACTGAGATAGTTCTTGTGGGACTGTGGGTCACAGGATCCCTCCCCGTCCTGGCTGCATCAATGGTACATGACCCAGGCTCGCCTAATCCTACTGCTTCCGACATCTTGGCTTTAGGGGGCTGGCCCAAGGGCTGGACATTCAATCCAAGCCAGTCAGGTTTCTATGTGGCTTGTAGGGAGTGTTTTTTTCTGCTTGGCTTGCCAAGCCGGGATGATATAAGCCTGGGCCCTTTGTGGCTTCTCTGCAGGAATAAAAAAAAAGGTCAACACACAATGTAAGGTGAGTCAAGACAGGAAAGCAAAAGAGAATGTGAGTAAGAGAGAGAATGATATTGTCTGAGCCCCTGGATCCAGCCATACCTGAAACTAGCAATCCTTTGATTTTCTAAGTCCATAAGCCAATAGATTCCCTTTTTGCCTAAGCTGGTCTGAATGCAGTTTCTGTCACTGGCAACAAAAAGTTCTGATGAATGCAGAGCGCCCCGCCCCAGTTCTTCCATCTGTGCCACAATGTGGCCACCCACCCATGTCCCCACCCAGCTTAGATCCGTGCTGTTCTCTTTTATGTCTGGGTGAGGGGCTGCTCCCTCTAGGGATCTCCAGCAGTCAAGGGGTAAGGAGATGGCTTTGTAGGTGTTCCGATTTTCAACTCTGCCTGCCCTGTCCTTTAGAGATCTTCTGTATTATATACTTGCTGTCTGTGCCTTGTGTAATAGGGTGAGTCTTTACGAGAAAAACGATCCTTGTGGTGGCTGGTGTGAACTTGGAAGGGAGACATCTAGCATCCCACATTCCCCACCCACACCTTGGGGCAGCCTTGGGCAGAGGTCCAGCCCCAGCCAAGGAACGTGTCCTCTGCAGGGACTTACGGAGGGAGGGTGTGAAAAGGTGAGTAACTGTGGAAAACATGAGCTGGTGTCTCCCTGTTGTGGGTTTCAAGTGTGTGGCTTTTTCTTTTCGCAGCTGTGCTCTCCCTAGAGGGTTTCCCACCCCCAGCCCAGGAAGGGGAAGCCACCCCCGGGTGTCAGAAAGGGCTGGGTCGCTCCCATGGGGAACCACTGGCCTTTATGTTTCAGTCCCTTAGAACAGGATGGAGGGTGGTGCCTTGAGTCAGAGGTTTTGGGGAATGTCCTGGCCACCCTGAGAGAGGGGAAGGAGATGGAGTCCTGTTTAGTGGTGAGTCCAGCACCCTGAACAAGCCACCCCCAGACAACATTTCCTCTGGGTAGTGGGGGTTCAGGGGGACCAAGTCCCCACACCTATGTAGTTGGGGCTTGTACCGTATGAACGAGTTCCGGTGTGACTTTCTCAAAGACAATTTTTTTTCTTAAGTGTAAAACTTTTTATTTGAAAAACAAGGAAATGTCTCTTGCACCCAGGTATTACGGAGCAAGTTCTGAGGTGCTACACGTTAATATGCCAGGAGATCATGTGGTATCTTTCACTGCTTTGCGACCACTTGCTATGTACTTGGGCCATTAATTTGGGGATGTTCCTGTCCCATCTCCCCAGTCGTGCTTTTCGAGTCCTGCTTCTGCTGCTCTGAATTGCCCACAGCATCGAGAGTCCAGCCTAGGAGAAGTGCTCACAAGGGTGAAATTAGCAATAATAGTAATAGCTAATAACATTTATGGTGGGCTTTGTGTGAGTCAGGGGCTAGTTTATTTTTTTTTTAAAGATTTTATTTATTGGGCGCCTGGGTGGCTCAGTTGGTTAAGCGACTGCCTTCGGCTCAGGTCATGATCCTGGAGTCCCTGGATCGAGTCCCGCATCGGGCTCCCTGCTCGGCAGGGAGTCTGCTTCTCCCTCTGACCCTCCCCCCTCTCATGTGCTCGCTCTCATTCTCTCTCAAGTAAATAAATAAAATCTTAAAAAAAAAAAGATTTTATTTATTTATTTGAGACAGAGAGAGCACGTGAGAGAGAGAGAGAGAGAGAGCACAAGCAAGGGGGAGGGGTAGAGGGAGAAGCAGATTCCCTGCTGAGCAGGGAGCCCGATCCGGGGCTTGATCCCAGGACCCTGAGCTGAAGGCAGACGCTTAACTGATTGAGCCACCCAGGCGTCCCAGGGACTAGTTTAATAAACACTTTGCTAGTATTATTTCATCAATAGTGGATACTCAGAGGGATCCTGATTTTGTGATCTACGCAGATGTGCACGGGCTGTGACCACTGCCCCCCCTGCCCTGCACAATGAGCCAGGGCTCACCGTCCCCTCTGGAAAGCATGCTGAGCCACGGTGAGAGCCTGTGGGTTTATTCCCAATGTTGTTCATGCCAACTGCACGTGTTATAATAAGGAAACAATCTAATTAAATATGGTGCAAACTAAAGAGATATGAGGGTAATTAAGAATGGATTGTTGTTTTTATGATATGTAGGTTGAAACACTTGATAAAGGTGAGTCACCTTACGACAAATGCTCGTCCAATGAGATGGGGACAAGACAGCTGTGAAAGATCAAGAAAACCCAGTCACAGGGCCCCTGCCCGCAAGTAGCTTGCTTCACGCTGGTTTGCAAGGTCTGGCTCCACTTTGGAGGAAACAAGTTGAAAATCATAGAAACATTATGGTTATGACTTATATAAGCAAAAAGCAAACGTGGAATTCTACCCAGTGGCTCATTGTCAATTAGGACTTGAACCTATAGCAAATTGCAGTTACAAAGTATGTTTTCAGTTAGAAGGTTTAAATTGTAAAGAGTGGTTTTATGATTCCCCACTTTAACTTTTTAAATTAGCCCACCTACGGCGGGTCGGAGGGTTTGGCTACAGGTGTGTATGAGTGTGGAAGAAAGGTCACGTGTCCACCACCGTCTTTCTTAGGAAGATCCCTGAGACACTCCCTGGTTTGGTTCCTGTCCCCTTGTTGGATCAGGGTCTTTCCTTCACTCCCAACTGCTCCAGGTATCCGGGACTGCTGGACAGCGGGTCACCTGCAGGCCCAGGTCATGGGAGAGTCCCTGTCCACCTCCACCCGTCCCTTTGACGACCCCAGCTGACCTTACCTCTCCCTTCTCCCCAGTGTCCAGGAGATGACATCTCACCTGACCCTGCGAGCATGTCCCCAGATCTTTCTGTTTCTTGCTCTCGCACCTCCTTTGAGACTTTGTCTTGAGTTGGGAGAGGGGAATGGCCCTCAGGACACCAGTAAGTGTCCGAAGGGAGAAAAGTCTGCAGAAAGCACTCAGCGTTTGGATGAAGGGATAAGCAAAATATGGTCTATTCATACAGTGGAATAGGATTCTGCCTTAAACAAGTAAGGGAATCCTGACACCTGCTACAGCATGGATGAACCTTGAGGACATGATGCTGAGTGAAAGAAGCCAGTCACGAAAGCGCAAATCGTGCACAATCCCACTTAGATGAGGTCCCTGGAGTGAGCAAATTCAGAGTCAGAAAGTGGAGCTGTGGTTACCAGGGCCTGCACTGTGGGGAAGAAGGAACAGGGAGGCGTGTCGAATGGTGCAGAGTCTCAGTTTGGGAAGATGACAAATGTTCTGGAGATGGACGGTGGTGATGGCTGCACAAGGATGTGAATGTATTAATTCCACTCAACTGCGCATCTACGAATGGTCAATTTTGTGTTGTGTATAGTTACACACACACATACACACACACGAGCCAGGCCCTGGCCCTCAGTGCTTCACCTCAGCGGGAAACCTTGAGGTTGTTTCTGGTGGATGGGATTCTGGACATCTTCATGTTTTTCCTTAAGCCTTAATATATTTTCCCAATTCCCTGCAAAGAGCACTTCTTACTTTAATAATTGGAGGGGAGAGAGAAGGGCACTTCAAGCATCTAAAAGAAAATATGAAGGGAGGGAGCGGGGAGTTACTTGTCTGGATCTCATCCTCCCCCTGCCCAGGGCCTGGGTCTTGTCCCGGTGGGCAAAGTCACAGTTGATGAGCCCCAAGGATGGACTAGAGTGTCAGGGGGCTTATCAGAAGACCGGGAAGGTCCACACTGCTCCTCCAGCCCCTGCCCCCAAGAGAGGTTGGCAGGGCCTCCCACAGAGCCTGCTGGAGGTGCTTCCGGGAGATGGGGTCCCTTCATCCAGAAAGGATGAAGGGACCTGTTCTGGTGATGGGACAGTCCAGCTATCAGCCCTGACAATGGCCCTTGATTTAACAATTAGATAAAGAGATGCTACAAATTTTATTTTACTTTGAAAGATTTTATTTTACTTTTAAAGATTTTATTTATTTATTTGAGAGAGAATGAGAGAATGTGAAAGCAAGGGGGAGGAGCAGGCTCTGCGCTGAGTGCAGAGCCCGATGCGGGGTTTGATCCCACAGCCCTGAGATCATGACCTGAGCCAAAATCAAGAGTCGGACGCCACTCAACAGACTGCGGCACCCAGGTGCCCCAGATGCTACACATTTTAGAGCACTGATTCTGGTCCAGTCACAGAGGAGAGCTTTATATGCATTGCTTTTTAAAGATTTTATTTATTTATTTGAGAGAGAGCGCACGCACAAAAAGTGAGACCGCAAGTGGAGGGGGGAGGGGTAGAAGGAGAGGGAGAAGCAGGCTCCCCACTGAGCAGGGAGCCCGACACAACATGGGGTTTGATCCCAAGACCCTAGGATCATGACCTGAGCCGAAGGCAGACACTTAACGGACTGAGCCACCCGGTCACCCATATATTGCATTATTTTAAAAATTCTTACAAGAATCCTGTGGTTAAGGATTTTTATTTTAAATAATTTTCCCTTTAAGATATATGCTACAGATAAAGAAGCAGGTGCAATATATTTGTACATTTATTTTGTTTTTTTTAAATAAGAAATTAATTACATTCATTAGGGTGGCCTCTAAAACACATACACCCCCGCATGCCTAGTGGCTAAAGCACCAATACTCTGAGTTCTACTCACCAGAGCAGTCCGGGGGCAGCAGAGGCAGGGGGAGGAGGGTGGGCTGTCAGGGATCCAGGCTGTGGGGGGCTCTGCTCTTTTTAGCTCAGGGTCTCTGAGGCTGCCCTTGGCATTGACACCCAGCTGGTTGGCAAGGAACTCACATGGCAGAGTTTTACAAGGCTGGGCCTAAGAGTCATAACATAACTTCTCTTCCACTTTATGGGCTAGAACTCATCTCATGGCCCAACCTGACTGCACGAGAGGCTGAGACATACAGTCCAGCCGTGTGCTCAGGACAAAGAAGAAACGGCTATGGATTTGGATTAGGGTGACTGATGGAATGTACTGTTCAAACTGGGACCTTACCACCAGGGAAAGGTGTCACCAAGGTTTGCCAGGACAGCAGGACAAACTAGACTGGGCACGGAAGGTCGTTTGATTTTTGGGAGCAAGATCAGGTAAAGACAAGCCCACGAAAATATGCTTTCTTATTTTCCTTATTTTCTACAGAAAAGGGAAGGCATGGCTCACTGCCTTGTCTATGCTTTGGTTTTATTTCTCCTACTTTGCAATATATCCTGGAGATCTTTCATGCAGAGATCCCGTAGTTGCTTTCTAGCTTTGGCACAGTGACACATGGTGCCCCTTGACCTACTGAACCAGTCCCTATGGATGGACATGAGTTGTTTCAATCTTTGGCTATTACAAGCAATAGCGCAATGAGTCATGCCATGCAAACATCATTTTAGCGACATCTTAAATAGTCGTAAAATGAACACTGAGGTGGGTAGCACCCTCGTATATGTGCGTCTCAAATCAATGCATTGGATGGTTTTCTTTCATTTTGTGCTTTCTAGAAATAAGATCAGATTAAATATATTCTTTTTAAATTCTATGACTCTTTCCCCACTTCTGTCCAAAATGTTTTTGAGATTTAGCCATATAATGAATGTTGGGTGCCACTGAGTGAATGTGCCACATTTGAAAAATAATTTAGTCTACATTTGGGGGTGATTTGCATCGTTGCCAGTGTTCTGAGCTTTGGACTGCTTACACCATCATAGGGCAGGTATGTATCCCCTCACTAGATGCTTCCAGACTGTCCTCCAGAACCATTGTGCTGAACTGCACTCCGATTTAACAGATTCCCATCACTCTACATTCTTATCTTGGTTTCCTTTTCCATTTGAGGTTAAACAATGTTTCTTTCTTCGTGATTTGAGTTCCTGCATTTGCAAATGCCTCTTTGTGGCTTTTGCTCATTTTGCCATTGGACGCGTGTCTTTTCCATGTTGGATTGAAGGCGTTCTTTCTAAACTTTGCATACCAACTCCCTGTTGGTTAGAATTGCTGTGAATCCTGTCAGTTTGTGACTTGTGTTTACCCTCTTCATGATATCTTTTGATAACGGATGTCCTATTGCAGTGTGGTCAAATAAATCTTTCCCTTAAGATTGGTGCTTCTTTGTTTCCTGCTTGAGAAAGCTTCCAAGGCTGAAGTCTCAATCCTCACATTACATGGGCACAGACAGTGGTTCAGATGTTTGGATAATGTGTTGTGGGCCAAGAACTGGTGCCCAGGTTCCACCTAGTCTGTTCCTCTTGAGGCATTGCCAGCTCAAGCCTGGCCACCCAAGGTCACAGTGAGCCTGGGAGGTGTTTGCCCCTTCTCGAACTTGCCAGGGATATGTTGGGCTCCAATGCTGCTTGCTCTGCTGATCACCCCAGGTGGGGGCTCCTCATCTTCACACACCATCATCAGCTCCTCCTTTGGGCTTAGAATTTGATTTTTCTGTCTAACAGGCTTTCCCATAGTGGGACTGGCCTGTATTCCTTGGG